TCAAAATCACACTTCTCTTCCTCTTTTCCTCCTTCAAATTGGATCTTTTAGCAACTCAAAGCTTCTTCTAATACTATCTTTGTTAGGATAATTTTTTTTTTATTATTATAGGATCATTCTAAAGTTTCTATGAAACGATCTCTTGAACTAGGTCTTAATTTAGGTGGCTAAAATTAAACTGTGATAGCTCTTTCAATCAATATGACAAGGAGGGTACCAGTTTTTTCATCTTAATACTAGTGGTGTTCTTTTTTCTAGTTGCATATATTGGAGGAGATGGAGCATTCTCTTCTAATCGTCATTTTAAGTGCTGATGAACCAGCAACTATTCATCATACACTCTCTAAAATCTTATTCGATGGTTTTAATCGTATTGATATTGAAACTGATTTTAAGTGCTTTGTGGACATCCTAAGTGGCACATCTCAATTTTCTTAGAGCATCTTGATGAGATTTTGCTATTGTTAAGATGTTTCACTCTTTCTTGATCACACATGTATAACATGAATATAATAGAGGAGCCAACTATTAGAGCTAGCCCTAGAAAATAGAAAATTTACCACAAGATAATTTTGACAACACAACAAAGAAAATAAAGCAAAAAGATAAAAGCGACAAGAACATCAGATTTACGTAGTACGGTGCCTTAGGAAGATGTTCCTAGGCCATAAAACACCCAAAAATACTAAACAAGAAAAACCTCATCAATAAGCCCAAACTATTTAACTGAGTGTGGACTTAAAACCAAAGCAAATACTTAGGTTTTCTTATGATGCCACTTGTGGTGCATTTGACTTCAAAGCCTAGGCCCTTATTTATAGTTTAAACAGGAGATATCAAACTTGATTTTCTCGATGTGGGACTATGGGGCTTGCCGAGTGCATCTAATTACTATTTTTAGGTGAGGAGAGTGACTCTCAGAACTTTTCTTTTTTTGATTATTATCTCATATCTTTAAGGTGACTTTTGTACCCATGCTATCTAATAAATAATTTTTTTCCTTTCTTGCAAAACAAAAAAAAGTATGTCAGGATTGACGTTGATGACGTACAGGAACAAGTTTACAGAAAAGCAAATGGAAAACACACTAAAATGAACTTCCATTAATTTTTATATAGAAGATGACGTACAGGAACAAGTTTACAGAAAAGCAATTTACATTCTGAAAATAAGATAAAGTAACTTTAAAACATGATAAAGGATAAACCATATAAGAATAATAATAGGTCATATTATTCTATTATTTGACCTTGTCGCTATATAAACAAACAGTAAATAATTTACAATAGAAAATACTCCTAAAAGAATTATTATCAACACGCCCACCACAGTCTTCGTGCAGATGGCAACGGCCCTTCTGGGGCCTCCGTGGCTTTCTCCTTCTCCATCTTTCTTCTTCCAGCATCCGCCTTCGCGCAACAAGCACCTGATCGCTCTAAAGCACACCCAAACCATGAAGAGACTGAGGATTCCGAACCAGCTCAGGAGAAGGATGCCAGTGTAGGGCGGATTAGAAAATATTCGCACAATGGCGGTCGAGAATGCTAATGCCGTCGAGAACACCGCCAGCCATAAAATCCACTTTAGGATTCCCGTCACCATTTTAGTCTGTCTGGGCACACAACATATCAACAAGAGGATGATGCTCAAGGATGCAAACAACCCGAACATGTCGAACAGAAGGAATAACTTGAGACCATGTTTTAGAACTGCCTCCCCTTCACTTGAAATCCCATCAAGATCAACGTCGCCACCACCATTAGTGTTGCTGGTTTGTTGTTGTACCTTTCTTTTAAGTTCAGACCATACTTTTCGGGGGCTGCGGTCATCCTTAGAAGGTCTAGCCTGGCGTCGGAAGGGGTGCCAACGATTTGATCGGCTTCTAATTGATTCTAATTGATTCAAGTCTGGATAATGATTCAGATATTTAAGATTTTATAAATATATTAGTGCATCATTGTACTAATCAAGTTTTAGATTTGAATCCAGTGTTTTTAAATGCATCATTAATATGTAAGAGATATAATGTTCCACAAAATTCTCATAAATCATCTGTAACAACAAAGCAAAAGTTAATAATGATTAAAGTTACAGATTTACTAACTATATACCGTGGAAAAAAAAACAGAAAAGCAAATTACATTCTGAAAATAAGATAAAGTAACTTTAAAAGATGATAAAGGATAAACCATATAAGAATAATGATGTCATATTATTCTATTATTGATCCTTTTCTTATGTACATAAACACTAATAAATTTATAAAAAAATATTCTTAAAAGAATTATAATCAACATGCTCACCACAATCTTCGTGCAGATGGCAACACCCGTTCTGGGGCCTCCATGGTTTTCTCCTTCTCTATCTTTCTTCTTCCGGCATCCACCTTTGCGCAACAAGCACCTGATCGCTCAAAAGCACACCTGTTATGAAAAAAAGTGTTGTCGCTGATGAGTCAGCACGACCCGGTCCACGGGTCGATGTCAGGAGTCTTCTATCGACTGAGCTGGATGCCGAGGTCGACCGGGCCCTCACGACGGAGTGTTGATCATCGTTCCTTGGTGTGCTGATTCGGGCGTTGTGTATGTCGAGCCGCGTCTCTCTTTCTCCGGAGTGGTTGGCAGCTCGTCTTCGTGAGGTGGCGGCGCCCTCGGGAAGGGGTGCTGGTTGGCGTTAGTCGAGATCCGGGCTGGTTGGCTGCTCTCCTTCGTGCACTGGACGACGATTCTCGAGTGGTTGGCAGTTCGTCTTCTTGAGGTGGCCACCTTTTCCTACAAAAATGGCCCTCGTCGGGATCACCCGACGAGGCCCCTCCAACGAGCAAGTCAGTCGAGTGACCGATTGATTTGTTTTTTACCTCCTCCCCACCTAGCTAGAGGTCTTTATATTACTGTATGTGGGTCGATCGTACGCAAGTTGGCGTGGTGGACGTGCCAAGCAGTGCCTTAGCATAGATTCTGACCTGACGTGTCTTGGGAGCGACGTCGTCTCGGGGTTCCCAAGGCCGAGCATTGCATTAGTACAGATTCTGACCTGGCGTGTCTTGGGGGCCAAATTATATCGTATCACTTCTCCCCCCCTCTAAGGCGTGTCGTAGGGTCCTTAAAGGGTTGGGCGGCATGCTTGGGTCGGAGTGAGGCTAATGGCTCATGAGGGGAAGTTGGATTAACTCATCGTGGGGCAATTTAGAGGGACAACGCCTCGTGCTTTGGGCAGGATTGACTCTGCTGATCGGGCGGCAGGAGCCTGATGAGGCAAAACCGATGAGG